ATCACATCGGCTATCACTACCGTTGCCTGAAGTAGCCTCCTGTCAGTATAAGAAATCCATCTGGTCAAAAAACGTTGTTGTCTCGGAGCTTCGTGCTCTGTTCGAAGTTGGTAATGTCGGTGTCAGTGTCAATCACTTGAAACTCTCCTTTCTCCTTCTCAAACACTGCTTGAGTTATCTGAGAGTTTGTGTTACCATATGATGGAGTTTCATTTGATTTTGATTCATCAGGGTCACTAGTGGATGCATCTGCTTTAATTGCAATAGGATAGATATAGTCATCCCCCACATTCAATAACTCAGACTCCTCAAATATCAAAAAATCAATACCAGTTCTAGCTGGTTGTTTAAACCTCTAGCCAAGACCTTGTTGGAAATTTACAGTCACAGCTGGAAGAACATTTACCTTCATTGGGGTTAGGATGCAACCTTCCCCTTCTTTTGCAAAGAAAAGTATCGTGATGCTATTATGGAGGTAAAAGGAAATAAACCATTTAGATCAAACAAATAAAAGAACTATCCCACAAATATTCACATTCATAGTCTTTAACCAACACACACAATTTTAATCTTAAAGATCACTACCCAAAAAAATAGGGTTTCTAATTTTGGGGGAATGCTGCTGCTGCTTATGGTGGGAGAACAGGGTTTCTCCCTCTCCTTCACGGCGGCTTCACTTAGTTTAGGGAGGAATTCTTGATCTGGTTTTTGTTTTTGCTTCTTTGGTTTCCTTGCAGGTTTGTGTTGGCTATGTGCGTGAAGGGAAAGCTTTTGCGCCGCGAATGAGATGGAGGTTGCGTGAGAAGATGGATTCACAATTAGGGTACTTGAATTGGGATTCTTGGTTTCTCTGTTTAGGTTTCTACGTTGAACTTGCTGTTGTTGATGGAAGCTTGAAGTTGCACGTGAGAAACGACATTGTTCACGATCAGAGTTCTTCTTCTGCAGGTTTCTGGAGGTTGAAGCTTGCTGGAGATGGTGGCTATTGCGCATTCGCGATGACTTTGTAGGGACCATGATGGTTACGCGTGTGATGACAGCTGACAGTTCGTTAAGGCTTTGCGACATTGACTGTGAGGGTGGTGGCGACACAATTGTGGCGCGGTGTCAGAGGCGACGCTACTCTGTTGAAGAGTAAAAGGGAAAAGAAAAAAAAACGTGGCACACGCTGGCATCACACGTGCGCTCGTCATTTGTCACATCAAAAAAACTTAACACCGTTACTTTTTAAGGACTAAACATAAAAGTTTCAAAACTAAGAGGAATAAAATGAACAAACATTTCGAAGAGGGACGAAAACCAAAAGATCGCTTGATAGTTTAAAGATTAAAAACATATTTAACCCAAAAAAAAATTAAGAATATAGAATGTCTATGTGTGAATGTTCATGGGAGAAAGTTGATACAAGTGAGTTGTCAAACAGAAAAGAAGAATTTTCTAAGTGATTTAGTCTAAGAAAACACTTCATATTTTGAAAAAAATGTGTTTTTATTTTAAATTGTAAAAAGAATTATGAAAGAATATATTTAAGTTTTCAACTTAAGTTCGTGATAGAAAATTCAAATTTTGAAATTTAAACATTTTGTTTCTTCCTCGTATTGAGTAAAAATTGGTGTTGATTGTCTCCTACTTTCATTTGCGATTAACTAATAATAATATATTTAACTAATAAAGATAAAATTTTAAATCTATTTATAAACTATCATATTATAAAATCACAACGTATTAATTTACTTATTAAAATATATAATTTTATATATGTATATAGATGATATTATTTCTAAAAGTTAATTAAAGTTTTGTAGTAGGACTAAACCCATTTTAGCCCTAACCTTAACCTACTTGAGAGGGGACTCTAGGGGTTGGAGCTTGTTTCTGACCCTCACTTGAGCAACTTCCTAAAATGGGGTTTTTTGAAAATGGGTTAAGACTAACCCATGGGTCATGGATTAAATTGACAACTCTAGTGTAAAGTTAGAATTCTAAATCGAAAATTTTAATAAACTTGACAATTGGTCGAGGCCGACTTAGCTTAACCTTCAACATAATCACCTCGACTCGATCTTCAATTTAGGCTGACGTGGAATGACTTTCAGCCTAGGCCAACTTGGCTCAATCATCGACACAAACTGATTAAGCTCGACCTTTAGCCTAGACCAATTCTTCTCGACCATCAACCCAGGCTGACTCGACATGAACATTGACAACCTGCCGACTTAGCTTAAGCATTAACCTTGACCAACTTAGCTCGAGCATTGGCCCGGATCGACTCAACTCAGCCATTGGCCTAGGCCGACTCAACTTGACCTTTGATTATGACCGACTGGATGCAACCTTTGGTCTGGGTCGACTAGGGCTCAACCTTTGGCTCAGCCCACTTGGCTCGACCTTTGACCCAAGATGACTAGGCTCTAACTTCAACTCGGGCTTGCTTAGCTCGACCTTCAGTCTAGGCTAACTTAGCAAAACTTTGACCCAAACCGACTTAGCTCGACTATAGGTTCAGACTTACTCTGACCAACCATTAGCCCAGGCCAACTCGAATTGACCATCAACCTAGACCAACTCAGCTCATCTTTTAGTCCAAACCTACTCAGCTCGACCTTGAACCTGAACTGACCTGTCTCGACCTTGAACCTGAACTGACATGTCTCGACCTTCATCTTAAACAGACTCAAGTTGTCCATGAGGTGACTCGTTCTTCATGAATTGAGTGATAGCATAGTAAAAAGTACTAAAATTCCAAATTTTTTATACTTTTAAAGATATTTGAAATTCTTCTATTTTATTAATTTAAAATACTTTTCAAAAATTTTCAATTTTTTTGAATTTCTTTCTATTTTTTATCCAAACAAGTTATTTTAAGGTAAATAATTTTAAATTCTCGAAAGAATTACCCTTTTATATTATCTCACCCAAGCACAACATTTGATATTATTAATGCATACCAAAAGCTATTATTTCTTGTCCAGAAAAATGTTACTACTTTTCATATTTTTGTTTTCGTTTGAGGTGAAATGAAGATACCTATGGAAATGGGTGTCCATTGCAAGCACAATGTAATTTCTTGTACAACTAGAATCCTCAATAAACACCACTAGAATCAATATTTGTGGACCAGGGTTCAAACGAAAAATTGGTCATATTTTTTCTAAATTAAACAGAGAAAAAAATAGCATAACCTTAAAACGCAGAATACAACCTGCGACAGCATAACGATAATTTACCCTAAAAAATCTCCCCCGTTTCTTGTTTCTGTAAACCTCGTAAAAACTGAAAAAAAAAATGAAATTTTCATAAGATAATAAAAAATAATAGAAAAAAAATCTCAAGAATAATTCAAATTAAAACTTTCGTTTTCCTTTTGAAATTAACAAAACCTACCGTGGCAGATTGATTTATTGAGAGTAATCGTAATCGTAGTCATCAGGGCTTCCTATTGGCTTGTACGTTTGGTTTACGTAACCATCGCGTGCAGACATGCGAAGGGCATAATTTCTATGAAGCTCCCAAATGCATCCTTTCTCGCAATAGGAACCACTTCGAAACCCTAAAAACTGACCAATTTCTGTCCTCCCTTGAGTCAACAAACAGTTGTATCTTATGGTGGTGAGAAGCTTGAGTTGAACGTCGAACGTGAATGGCTTTGTGCTAGAGGAATCCAATAGCCCTCTCGTAATGTCATTCTCGCTCGATATGCATTTGATGTTCACAACCTCTCCTGCTATTTTCGACGTAATATTCACTGTAAGTTTCGGATGAAGAAATTCACCCCACATGGAATTCGAGGCTTGGGAAGAGGCTGCAAAAGCGAACATCAAAAGCAAGACGATGAAAAGTGCTTTTCCACCACCGTAAGGAACAGCCATTGATTGTTAATTACGGGGAGGTGATGGTTTTGCTATTTTCTCATGTGTTTGAATATCGTGTGTGTATATATTGGAAGTTACGTCTAATTGAGGGGAACGAAACATTGGAAGTTGTTAATGCTATGTTGCTAATTAACCATATGTGGTTTCATAATTTCCGTCAATTGGCACACGTTTTAGAGCCATAGAAGGTAATTTTGGTCGGTTCTTCGTACCACTGGTAGAAATAATAATTTGTGATTTGGTTATTGAAAGGCAAGGTTTAGAAAGAAACTCAATAAATTTTATCTGTGTTATGTACTTTTAAGTAATTCTTTGTATGTTTATTTTTATCGTAAAATATTATAAGATTTAAATTGTATAATTTAAAGAATTGTTTTTAATATATGGCCACAATGATTTTATTTTCAAAGAGAAATAAAAAATAATGGAATACATTTTTATATTTTAAAATTTACTCATTATATTCATAAGATATCAAATGTGTTTTACTATTCTTTTTTCATATAAAATGATAAAACATATAATATATATTGTATTATAAGATAAAGTTTTATATATTGTCCAATACAACAAAAAGAGAAGAAAAACCAGATATAGAACTAGTGTACAATTGAAGTAAACACTAGTGCAGCGAGGGGCTTTTACCGCGGTTGATTTTCACTATACGTCGCGGTTCTTGAACCGCGGCATATTCAGCCGCGGTAGTAAGTCAGACACTTTATGCCGCGGTTCGAACCGCGGTATATAGGCTGCGGAATATGCCGCAGTTGTCTAGGGAACCGCTGCCTAAATTCATTTTTTTTAAAAAAAAAAATTAAAAAAAAAATTAAAAATGCACTATATGCCGCGGTTGAACCGCGGCATATAGGCCGACGAGTATGCCGCGGTTAGTGTCAAAACCGCGGCCATATGTCTCGTTTTTAAAAAAAAAACGAAGCACTATATGCCGCGGTTGTGGTTAGAACCGCGGCATATTCCCCTGCAGTTTTTTAAAATTGCAGGTCTGTTTTTGTGATATCCACTACCACAAAAACAGACCTGCATATAAAAACATTTACAGAAATTCAATTTCAACATAACAAACACATGTTCAAATGTATTTCAACATCAAATAAAGTAGAGAGTCTAAGAAAATTCTATCTAATCAAATGCATTGTTTAAATCTAAATCTAAGAGCTATTGTATAATCTAACTATATACTTCGCAGCAGCGTTCCTAATGAATAGTAGTGACTTCTCAGGAACTGGTGTAGTAGTCTTGAATCTCTGCAAAAGACAATTCATTTTAATTAGTGTATATGAATTCAACATTTGTTAAAAAATCAAAATTTGTTAAAGTTAAATATTACCGTTTCCCAGCTTCTTGTGATGTGAGAACGAACAATATGGGTCATCCAATACATTACATAGTATCCACACTCATATGACCCATTTTGTCTGTTACACTACAATATATCATCACAGTTGATAATAGTTAGTGAATAACATTTGTTATAAAACAATTATAACAAAGTCAGACTTTAGCATATGTCAAACCTTGAGAGAAATCCAAGCAATCTTTCTACTCTTAGCAATTGATCTCCCGTCCATCATCATACTTGCTGGAATAGAACTGTATATAAAAAAATGTTTTAGCATTCAGTTATATAACAAAGAAAGTCCAAACATTGAGGTTCTTACCAATCAATTGCTTGTCTGAGTTGTGTGGGAGGAGGCCTGTGCAATGAGCAGAACCACAAAGCATAGTTGTCTTGCACAGACATAACAAGAAGTTGCCAATGGCGCCTGAAATTCATAATAACGTAACTATTAAATATTAAAATCACATATGGAACATTATTATGTTAACAAAGTTCACTTACCCGGATATATAAGGCAAAAAGTATATTTTCTTGCCCCTTCCAAAACTTCTTATCAGACTCATGTTGATATGGTCAAAATCATTTGATTCATGAATTTCTTGGGGATCAATGAATCCATAATCATCAGAACGCCCCAACTTATTAGTGACCCCAGACATATACCTGAAATCAAAAATTAACTTTGATATAAGGATACTTGATATATAAATCAATTTTATATATAAATAATTGGTCATAGACTTACATCGTCCATAGTTGAATAATTGAAATATTCAACTCTTGTGTTCCCGACGCAAGCTCACGGACATCTTGGCTATTAAGGTATATTGGGACCTCAGAGCCATGCCCAAATACATTAGCATCATACTGAACCTCCAAAGGCTTATCATCAAGGATGTCAGCAAGTAGATGCAATGAAGAAAGAGGGTCATCCTCAGATAGAGGAATCTTCTGTTGTTCCTGCGTCTGTTGTTACATGAAAAGATAAGATAAGTTTTGACATCAAAAACCTTTAAAATTGAGAAGTGTAAAGAAGAATTTCATACCGAGGGGTCAGAAACTGGTTTAACCAAAAATTTAGGCCAAGTGATAAACGACTTATATGCTTGTTCCACAGTGAAAATCTCTTCCGTGGACAGTGGAACCGAGGCATCTGGCATGATCATTTCATCCACTGAGACCTTCACCTCATCCTCTAATAGTTGCATACCATGACATACAGTCGCTGACCTAAACTCTGTTCCACGAGCTACCAGCACCATCTCATCTTCTTCTAAAATGTATAGCAGACATGGACTACCATCGTCCATGTCATCCTCTGGGATGGCTGATGCGGAACAACTTCCTTTGCCGCTTCTCCCTGTCAGAGTAAATGTTAGATTATACAAGAGATAGAAATAATTGCACATAAATGTTTATTAAGTTTACCTGTGGGAGGGGGAGGGACCACATGTTCCTCTATAGGAGACTGCATCGGGCGCATGCTCTGAAACTGCTCCTGGTAGAGCATCTGGAATTCAGCCCTCACCTCGGCCCTGATCTCCTGCATAAGGTCTTGTCGGACCTTTTTTGTGATCTCTTCTGTCATCCTTTGTGTATCGCTGTACGAATATGAAGGCTGACGAGAAGAGCTCCCAAAATAATCCGTAATGCCTACTCCAGGACCTGCAGCACGTACACGTCCAGGGTGCTCAGGTCGTCCAATTGCAGCAGCAAGAATATCCTGGCGACCCTCTGGAGTGAATTGGCCTTGGGAGCTCTGCTCAACCAAGGCGTCCTGTAACATTACAAAACACCATTATTCTTTAAATAGTTTAATGTAGTATGTATAATGACAATATTTATTATTTTAGGAACAGTGATAACTTACAATTTTTTCAGAAATCTCTCGTGCAGTGTCGGAAGAGTAGGTGCCCGATGGTCGCATACGGGCCAACTTCCATTTCTCATGTCTAGACGGTGGAGAAGGAGGCTGAGGAGGGCTACCACTCTGAGATGGTGGTATAGCATCTGCCTTTTGCTTGAGGATTTTCTCCTCAAGCTTCCTATACCCACCACGAGATAATAGGTGGGGGTTTTTGTTCTTAGCACTTGTTCCTTGTGCTTTGCTTCTAATTGCCTGTCACATACACATTAATTAATGAGTTCATATGATATATATTTGTTAATGAGGAATTGAATAATATGAACTACACTAACCTGCCATTCCTCTGACATCCGACTCTCTTTAAAAACCCGCCAAGTCTCCTCATCAATGGACTTATATGCATTACATGGAGTTTTATGTTTAAGGTGTCCAAAGATGTACCTTGATGTCAACTTGCTTTTAAAGTTTCTGAAATTTTCTGCAACAGTTGACAAACACTTATTTCTAAGTGTTGGGACATTTGGAATGTCAAATGTCATCTGAAAAAAACATAATAAAGTTGTATTAGTACAAAATTATCAATATAAACAAATTATAATTCAAATGCTATTAACTAACTTACCAATATATCTTGCCAAATAATGTTCCGATCACCCTCGGACACATGATCAAAAGATGGAATGAGAATGCTAATCTTATCACGTGCCACTACTCCAAGGTATGATCGGAAGTCATCTGCATAGGGGCCAGTTGCCACACCCGTGGTGACATTCACATTCACCGGAGTTCTTTCACCACTATTTTTCCTGATTAATAGTTGTTTCATCCTAGTGGGTCCTCTAGTGGATCTGGGTGGGGGAGCCTCATCCCCTGAAGAATGTGGATGATCAGCCATATATCTGTCAAAATAAATAACAACATTAAATTTTCTTTCAAGACTTATGTAATATCATATAAATTAACAAAACATGTAATAGTATCCAAATTGAAAATTCATACATAAAGATATGGATTCATCATATGTATATTCCCTCATCATGATCTGACCGAATTGCATGTACATCATCGTCAACTACAGATTGGTCATCCAACTTTGTTGTAGTTTGAAATGAATGGTTGTCAGCAATATCAATATTAATTAGATTGTCTTCGTTAACTTCAATTTGTTTTTTGCCTTGAAGAGCAACATACCAATGGTCAGACGAAGGATCTTTGACATAAAAAACTTGAGATGGTTGATGTACCATGATAAACGGTTCGTCTCGATAACCCACCTTGCGAAAATCAACCAGTGTCATACCCGAGTCATCTATTTTCACACCACTCTTATTGTCAAACCACTTACACTTGAACAATGGAACGGAAAACTTGGTGTAATCAACCTCCCATATCTCTTCTATTATACCATAATATCTCATTGATCCAAGTACAGGAGATTGATCTTTTGATGTGGAAAATTGAAGTGACTCAGCTTCTAAACTGACTCCACTATTTTGTACTGTGCTTTTATCATCCAAAGTCTTCGTATAGAATGTGCAATTATTGACTTCATAACCTGTACAACACACGACATCAAACTTCAAACCATTTGCAAGCCACAATAAAGTTTCAGAAGAATGTGGCTCTTTGTCAATTTCAGATTTGAACCAAGACATAAATGTTTTGTTATGCTCCATCAATTGCCATTTCTCTGATTGTCTTGGATTTTTATTCTTAACAATGGCTTTGTGTGCTTCCAAAAAAGGGATCACCTCATCTGTGTTGTTCAATATATAAAGATGCGCTTGCAACAATTCTTCGCGATCTTTTGTCACCACATTGACACCTCGGATGCTTTTACTTGTAGAAAATTTATTCAACCATGCTGTGCGAGGAACTCCTATTGGATTCGTTGATGTCATGTAATCTGAACAAAACTCGATACTTTCTTCAGCAATATACCTTTCAATCATCGAACCTTCAGGACGATATGGATTTTTAACGTACCCTTTCAAAATCTTCATATAACGCTCAATAGGATACATCCATCTTAAGTATACCGGTCCGCACAACTTGATTTCTCTAACCAAATGAACAAGTAAATGTACCATGATGTCAAAAAAAGATGGAGGGAAAAACATCTCTAGTTGACACAAGATGATAACAATCTCGCCTTGAAGTTCATCTAACTTTGTAGGATCGATGGCTTTACTACATATTGACGAGAAAAATGAACACAACCTGTTTATGGTGTGCCTAACATTTTTGGGCAAAATTCCACGAATAGCCACCGGTAACAACTGTTGCATTAAGACGTGACAATCGTGAGACTTCATGCCAACAAGCTTTAAGTCCTGCATTGACACTAAACTCTTCATATTTGAAGAGTATCCTTGTGGTACTTTGATACTCTTTAAACATACACAAAAACTTATCTTCTCTTGTCTAGACATTGTGTAACATGCAGGGGGCAAATAAGTACGTTTACCAATCTCCTTCGGTGCCAACTCTTCTCGGATATTCATGTCAACCAAATCCAAACGAGCATTCACTCCATCTTTTGTCTTTCCCTGAATGTTGAGTAATGTACCAATCAAGCTATCACACACATTCTTTTCTACATGCATCACATCTATGCAATGTCGAACATCTAACTTTGACCAATATGGAAGATCAAAGAATATTGATTTCTTCTTCCAAGGGGTCGTTACAGATGACTTCTTCGATGTTTTCCCAAATACATGATGTATTTTATTAACTTTTTGAAGAACTTCAAGGCCAGTAAGTGGATTTGGTGCTTCGTCCCTCTCTTGATCTCCATTGAATGCTTTTTTTAACCTTCGATATGGATGATTACGTTTTAGAAATCTCCGATGACGCAGATACACCGTCTTTCTTCCATGTTTCAATTGATGAGCTGCAGTGTTTTCTTCACATATAGGACACGCTTTATGACCCTTGACACTGTATCCTGACAAATTACCATAAGCAGGAAAGTCATTAATGGTGCAAAATAACATTGCACGCATCATAAAAGTCTCTGAAGCGAATGCATCAAATATTTCAACCCCATCAACCCACAAAACCTTCAAGTCTTCAACTAGTGGGCTTAGATAAACATCTATGTCATTTCCAGGCTGCTTTGGACCAGATATCATCATAGACAACATCATGTACTTCCTCTTCATGCACAATGCAGGAGATAAGTTGTAAATTATCAATATAACTGGCCAACAACTGTGATTGGTACTCAGATTACCAAATGGGTTCATTCCATCAGTGGCTAAACCAAGCCTAAGATTTCTACACTCTTTACCAAATTCGGGGAATTGTCGATCAATATTTTTCCATTGCTTTGAATCAGCTGGATGACGAAGCAGCCCGTCAATTTTTCTCTCATCTGCATGCCATCTAAGATTTTTAGCATCTTTGGGATTCGCAAACAAACGCTTAAGTCTGGGCACTATTGGAAGGTACCAAACTACTTTCAAAGCAGATCCATTTTTTTCTATCTGACCATTATCTTCACTATTGTTTTTTGACTTGTATCGTGATAAGCCACATTTTGGACACTTTGTCAAAAATTCAAACTCTTTCCTATACAAAATGCAGTCATTGGGACAAGCATGTATCCTTTTATACTCCATACCCATTGGACAAAGAATTTTCTTCGCATCATAATTACGAGTGGGCAGTGTATTTCCATCTGGCAACATTTCATTCAACAACGTCAACAGTTCTGTAA